CGGCTGCGAGGGTATTGTATTGACTCGTAGTCACTCCTACACATTACCGTGAATATTTGATTTATAAACAATAAAAAGTTAAAAAACGGAAAATCATACTAATGTTATAATCATACTTCATACTAATATTATAAATGTGAAAGTTTAAATGGATGGATGGATGGATGTTAGAGTTTATTCTAACTTTAATTATTTAACATTGAAATTAATTCAGTAAATTTTTGTTTGTAAATTCAGGTTAATTAAAAGGTCAGCTGTAACATACAATATTCATTACGATGTCTGGCAGGGAACACATTACAAATACTATTACGCACATTGTTTCAATGTATTTTGCTTGTAACATTTGTTACGAATAAACTTAAAACTACTAAATCCATATAAAATAACCTTCATTATTCCTATATATGGTAACATAGACTATAAAATGTTGAAAAACTCTTATACCAGTCTTACTTAATCTATACTAATATTATAAAGAGGACATATTTGTATTTGTAAAAATAACTATTAAACCTAGCAGGCATAGGCTTCACATTTATTACTATTTTTATGCCGCATGGATATTTTCAGTGCAACAGATATTAAAGTAACACAGACAAAAAAAATAATATGCAATGCATACAAAGATCTTAGGTCAGTAACAAACCAAGGTGTCATTAACATGGACGGTCAAATGATACGAATAATCAATATAAATATTTATTAAAACGGATAATGACTGCATTGTCTCACTTCCGGCGGAATATGTGTAGGAATGAGCAATTATCTGTTTTCACTTTAACAATATTGATTCAATTTTATAAATGTAATGTTCGGACATTAAATCATCATCATCATCATCATCATCTCCTTATCCTACTCCCGTAGGGTCGGCGCAACAGGTTTTTGTCCTCCACATAACTCTATCATACGTCATCTCAGTCATCACTCCCTTTTTGATCATGTCTCCTTTTACACAATCCATCCATCTCTTTCTAGGTCTACCTCTACCGATGTACCCTTCCACACTCATAACTAACGTTCTCCTTGTAACATGCGATTCATCCCTCCTCATAACATGCCCATACCATGCTAACCTTTTACTCCTAACCTTCTCTACTATGGGGGCTACTCTCAAACTTCCTCTAATATACTCATTTCGTATCTTATCCAATCGTGTTACCCCACACATCCATCTTAACATTCGCATTTCTGTCACATGTAGTCTTCTTTCATCCGTCCCTTTTACTGCCCAACATTCAGATAACATTAAATAACAGACAAAATAACTTTAATATTGTTACTTATTAGGAAAGTGCGCCCCTCTAAGCGACTGATTACCATACAAGTCATATTTTATGAAACTGTTCGGAAATAAAGGGAAAATCCTCGAAGAATAATTAGGTCTCTAGTTGTCTATCTATGAAAAGCAAAGTATTTAATACTCACTTGTCCGAAATCTTATTTACACAGGTGTTTTGTTTTTCCTAATCAGTACTATGTTTTCCCAGCGGGTGCTCCAAGTGGTCCTCCGGTGGTGCGTTGTCAGCTCCGCAAGCATAAACCGAACCGCAAGCCGCGGACGCCCTTCACTACGCAGCAGCTACTGGCATTGGAGAAGAAGTTTCGAGACAAACAGTATCTTAGCATCGCTGAAAGAGCCGAATTCTCCTCATCGTTGAGACTCACTGAGACACAGGTGAGAATTAATTGCACTAAATTCTGTATTAGAAGTTAAGCAAAAGGTTAGCGTGGTATGGACATGTTATGCGACGAGACGATGGGGACATAAACCAGAAAATGTTTAGAATGAGTATGGATGGCTACAAAGGAAGAGGAAGACCGAAGAAAGTATGGACGGATTGTGTGAAAGAGGATATGCTTAAAAAAGGAGTGGTTTCAGATACGACGGCTTTTTTTTTTTTTTATATAGATAGGCTGATAGAGATGTATGGAAAAGCAGCACATACTGTGCCCATCCTCGATAAGGGATAAGGGTAGATGATGAAATATTGTATTTGAAGTTAATTTATCTTGCTTTGTGATGGCTACAAGTCATTGACAGAAATAAAGACTTGTAATATTTATTTTAAATAGTATTCTAACCGCAATTCTCATGCTAAATTAACTAAGCGACACCCTGAATGACCACATAACAAACCTGTAAGCAGTAAACCCATTAATTCATTTAAAACCTCAATCTCTTTCATACTTAAATTACTTGAGCGCTGGAGCAAACTTTCCTTCTATCAAATACTAGTTCTCGCCCGCGACTCCGTCCGCGTGGAATTAAAAACAAAAGTGCTTATGTGTTCTTGCACACTATTATCTACTTCTATACCAAATTTAATTGAAATCCATTCAGCCGTTTAGGCTTCAAACTCTAACAAACATCCATCCAGCCATCTTAAATTTCGTATTTATAATATTAGTATGTAACGTATAAATCAAACATTGCATTTTCCAGGTAAAAATTTGGTTCCAAAACAGACGGGCCAAAGCGAAACGTTTGCAAGAAGCTGAAATAGAAAAACTCAGGTTATCCGCGAGGCCACTTCTCCCGCCATCGTTCGCGCTCTTCGGAGGTGGGGGAGCACCGCCGCTGTTCGCAGCAATGGCCGCCGCAACCAGACCGCAGCTAAGCTTCCTCGGAGGTCCACCGACACATCAGCACGCGATCAACATGAACATATTGAATTCATTGCAGCCACATTGACAGCAACAAAGCGCGGGAACGCGTTATTACAAACATCCGCCATCTTAGATGTAATGTCACGTTTGTCAAAGAGTAATCATTCGAGACAGATCGGATAAAGATAAGTCAGATTTTAATAAAACGTATTTTGTGATTTTAACATCCATAGAAGAAGATATCTTTTGTTTAGTAGTAATATAATTAAAAATAGAGTTGAAAATTCGTACCATTTCATCAAGACTTAACTTAAGGAACTGAAACATTCATAAATAAACTGTGCCAGATTCTACAAGAACCTTTAATCGACATGTCTACTCTTCTATATGTCACATCTAATTGTTGTATATAACATATATTAAAAAAGTAAAAGACGTATTTTTTTTTTGAAGAGAAATAAAATTTTCCCTTTAATTCGTGTGCAATTCATCTAAGAATATTTTCCCACAGATGGTAAAATTAGTAAAAAAGTATTTGTAAAATTACTGTTTAAAAAATCAAATTATGTCTGCAATTCCTAATTTAAACTTTAAAAATATTTGTCATAATCTGTATGCTCAAATCTATCTCAAAACTTATCTTATTATAAATTCAAATAAAATGCTATAACGTGCATACTATTATATCATAAATTACTTACAAAATTGCTAAAAGTCAAAGAGTGTATAGAATTATTAAAGATCTAATTTAACAAAATAAATGTCTAGTGTATGCATATTCAGAAGAAAAAAATACAAATCTTTTTATAATTTAAAAATGTTGAAACGCAAATTGTTTTTAATTTTTACGACTTCGTAATATGATTTAACACAGGCAAGTTCTTTTATTATATTTTTTTAATAGCTCAATGTTTTATCGTTTGCAATAAACGTTAAAAGCTATTATTAATTAGGAAAATGTATTTTTAATTATAATTTCGAACGATTCATTTAATTCCACTTCTATAATTAAAATGAGAATTGGAACAGAACTCTATTTCATTTCAAATATGTTATGAAATAAATCGAAATTTCCGTTACTTTTCGTACAGAAAAAAATCACTTTTTATATTTCGGTTGCAAAAGTCAGCAGTATTTTATTTATATAAAACTAATATGTATTTACACAGTTCAATATGTCCTATATTACATAAGAATAGGAATGTAAATATATCATTTAATTTATTGTATACGTAAGAATAGAATAAGTGGATTAAGCTATAATAGATTTTTTATTATAATTATTATGTGTAAATTGTAACATCCTGTAACTTAGGCATTGGTTGGAATTAGATTGTTTTGATTCATCTAATTTTAAAGGACAGACTGTATATTTGAAAATAAATTAATTTAAACATTTTTTTGTTTTAATAAATACAAACATACTTTACAACTAGCATCGCCGGGGACTTCGTCCGCGACAAATTTGAAAAGAAAATTATTACTTACCTGTGTGTTCTTCTAAACTATGTTATAAATCTGTGCCAAATTTCCGAGAGATCCCTTGAGTTGTTCTGGAGATAAGTATTATCCATCCATCCATCTAAACTTTTGGATATAATATAAAATGTTCCATAATTTATTTCAACACAAAATGAGGAAAATTTAAAAAAATACTATTTAACAGTACCATTCTGTGTATACATTTTATTTAAAATTTTAAATGTATTTATATCTATTTCTTCATTTTGCTTCACAAAAACAAAACAATACCACGGGTAAAATACTTTTTTTTCGGGAAAAGAGTCTAGTCTATGAAAACTATTCTAGATTATGTTTTCACCCAGATAAAAATAGCCGTTTAGGAGTCAACCGTTTACAAACATCCATCTTCATAAATATATTTAATTATATAGACTACCCAGGAACATAAAATCCCTAGCCTGGGAGGTACTCAAATCGCTTGTATCTCATTATTTGGTGGTAATTTCCATATAGAAATCATTATCATCTCTCCTACCTTATCCTACTCCCGTAGGGTCGGCGCACCGAGTTTTCATCATCCAAATAACTATCATCCATCATCTCAGTCATCACTCCTATCTTGATCATGTCACCTTTCACACAATCCATCTCTTATAGGTCTACCTCTACCAGCGTACCCTTCCACACTCATAACTAACGTTCTTCTTGTTCCATGCGATTCATCCCTCCTCATAACATGCCCATACCAGGCTAACCTTTTACTCATAGAAATAAGTTTTTTTCCGTATATATCGAGTTTCTAGTCAGGTTACATGTAGGCATTAGAAAAATAAGATTGAAATAAATAACATAAAAAAAATGATAATGATCTTATCTTGATAAAATCGCATTTATTTTTAGAGTAAATGTCCTCTTAATGTGCGTCTCCTCCGTCAATTAAGGGTAGGCAACGCATCTGCAATTGCAAATGTCTATGGGCAACGATCGCTTTCCATTTCGGTGGATTCAGGGGGCCGCTTGCTCGTTTGCCACCTTATGTTATAAAAAAAAATATCATTTAACTATTGCAATCGATTTATTTAATAAAGTTGTATTACAGAAGTTTATCCTCGAGATAATACGATTGGTGTAAAATAATTATGCAGTCTGCAATAAGTGGTAATTGAAATTTATTAGCCTTAAAGCCTTATATAGAATCCGTTAGTTGGGTCGACTGTTAACACTTGACTTTCCATCGTAAAAATATACCAGTGGAAAGTATGTAGGTCCGCAATAATTATGATCCTTAACACTCTATAAATACAGGTTATTTTAGCACGGAAAGGTTGTAATTATATTTCTAAAGGTACTGAGTACAGACACTAATTGGTAACTCCTACAAAAACGCACGCACTATCCAAGCTATAAGCATAATTATTGTATAATACAGTAATTTGTATGCTGCCTTTGATCGGTCAAGTTACTGGAATGCTATTAATTACCAATTTATTTATTTGTCGAAAAAGATTATATTTATAAGTACGTTTTGTATCGTAATTGGTCGGTTAAAGAATAAAACTCCATTACCGTGGTAGTTAGCTGTCTTTGTTTTTTCCAAAAGAATGTGAGGGATGGCAATATGTTTTAACGCAAGTGGCAGCAGCCAAAACTTATTGTAACAATGATCGAATGTATCGACCAGTATAAAATGACCTATTTTGCAGTTTTATCTGTGTACTTCCTAAAGTGTTGCCGTTTTTGAGAGGTCTCATATTTTTTGCCTATAGGTTCAGTTTGTAAATTTTTAATATGTCCCTAAAATTAAAAAAATATAAATATTACATACATGAAAATTCAGTCTTATCTTTACCACAATAAAGTTTTGTTTCGTTTAATTTAATTATACGGTTTGAAAATAACAATGTCAAGTCGATTATGAAGACTTTTTGCGGTATTTTAATTATAGGTCATGGATATCAGAAAATTATTGAATTAATTCCGTGTATTCAACTTTTTTGTTTTCCAGTTAATGTTGATATACTCTTGAGCATACGACCGTTAAAATAACTTTCTAGGTACTTTAATGGGAGAGATTGAATGCCGAAGGTTCCGGTGTGGTCCTTAGAGATCCCGGAACCTTCGTCTATGTCACTAGAGGATGCTCACCGAGGGGGTTTTGGTAGGTCAAATCCTACATAACCCTGCCTTCCCCCCAGAAGGAAGGTATCTTCTGAAGATTTCCCCCCCGACACCAAAAAAAAGGGACTTTAATGGACTATGCTGGTTAGTACGGAAAATGGAAAATGCACAATTGGTTTTTTAATGTTTTTCACAACATACTTACAGAACAGTCACAACTTCTCAAAAGTAATAAAAACAACTGATAGAATTACGTTACTTTTTTAAGTCTCATCTACTCTTTTTCTTTTCAAATAGAAAATAAATTTTAAACACCACTTTAGGCCTGATTTCAAACTTCGGGCTATGTGTATTCAACTAAAGCAGTGATCAACCTTTTTTTTATTGCGGCACATATTAAACGATTTCAAAATTTGGCGGCACACAAAGGAAAAGATAAAAAATATTTACTTACTAAAACACACTGCATAAATAGTTTTCGACAAACATTTTAATTATACGAAATAAACTAATATTTAATACAATAATAACTAAACGTTTAATACGGGGTTAATTTCAAACTATTAAGAAAAAATTAGCGGCACACTTTTAAAATTTGGCGGCACACAAAAGCGAGAATCACTGATCTAAAAGTACGAAAATACATGTAATCTGTAGGTTACGGAAACACTTAAATACACCTCGTAACATCGATCAGTCCGCACCTTTTACAGTCGGTTTCCCAGCTTAATCTAACCATTCGTTGGTGTTTTTGATTCGATAACTTCAAAATGCAAATCTGAACTACGTCAACAGTTTTCCTCCTTTGAAAAATTACCTAATGATAAAAAAAATTAACACTTCAGCAACTAAGCATAAAAGTAACTCCGTAACTTAACGCATAGAGTATCTAATCAAGCAAATGCCACAGCTTAACATCAGATCTTAGTAACTGGTACGCCTTTATAATTGGCTATTGCCACTTATAACTAATCCGAACACGCCCCTAACCCGCCATAGTAAACGAAACCATTTGTCAGAATGAATCGAGTTGTAAAATCGATTATATGTGTATATCGATTTAATAACACCTACTCACGCGATGTTCAGTCGGCACAGATTAGTAATCAACGCACATTTTTATCATTAATAAAAGTATATTTAAACGTTAACCTAAACGATATAATTAACTAATTTAAACGTGAAAGTTAATGTATTATTTAATTACTAACTGTTCCCGTGCGACTTCATCCGCATGAAATTATGAAAATTTTATTTTGTTGTTTACATGTGTCAAATTTTCAATTGCAAATGTCAAAATGATATGACATTATGACAAACCATGGCAACCTTGCTTCCTTGATGTGGGTAGCAACTTATGGTCTCTTTCTCACATTACGGTTTTTATCCAAAACATTTACCGCCTAAATTTAATAGCCTAAAGCGTGACGTAAGTGTAGGGCTTTTTATTAAAGAAAGAATTATTTAAAAATATGCTGTAATTGCTGAAATCTTAGGCAACAAAGAAGTGTGTGTTTACGCTTTATTATAATAGTACAGATGTACCTACCTTTAGGTAAGTTTTTTGTAATCTTGAAGCTGTTCCATCTAAAAATGCACTTACACAGTCTGTCGCGTACTTTATAAAAACAATTAAGTAGACAATTCTACCAACATAAACTATAAGAATCCAATTAAGTTATAAGTCTGTCTTGCTGATTTAAAAATAAAATGAGGCGTCCGCAATTCCTTTAAAATTAGCATACACAATTACTAACTCAAACTGGAAGCGTAAACCCCGGGGCCGCATTCGACAGTTAAGACAAA